GCTGTGAACACCACAGACATAAACCCACAACCCATGTCGGCTGACCAATAACTGCTTCCATAATTAGATAAACATGGTGTACAAAGCTGAAGAACATTAAGCTTTGGCCTCTGTGTGGCAAGATATTCTTAGTGCACCCCCTACCCACTCTATAAAAGTTGGGAAGAAGTGCAAAGTTGCACGTTAGCCTACTAGAGCAGGAAATTCCACAGCTTTCCCTGTTCTGGAACACAATACCACTCGAAACACAAAGATCAAGGCTAAGATATAGAGATATTTATTTGTACACGCGCATAACTGCATGCACAGCAAACGTAAGTGTTTCCCCGCCATCCAGCAAATGCATATTAGTCAATGAAAAATATCCAGTGTAGAATCTGCTGTTATATCACTACCAATAATAATTTGGTAGCTTATGTTGCAGCCTACATTCTCTATACACCAGGCGTGAGAAAAATCTCCTGACAGATTTAGAGAGAACAATATTCTTTCACAAATTATTTTCGTTTTTATAAATTCCTATAGATGCAGCTAAGTTTTCCTTTAGTTATTAGGCTTTAAATATATTTCTCAGTTGAATCTACTAACAGATTTCTACATGAATAACGCATCTGAAAAAGGACTGACGGAATAAAAAATAACATTGACCACAACGTATGTATTACTCCTCAGTGCACAAATGAATTCAATAACACAACTATCTCTAACAATAACTTTGTGGGAAGCCCATTAGTAAAATTAACTTTGCTCTGATGATGGGAGATGTTTCAGAATATTGACCTTTTCACACCAAGTGTGTTACCATAGAGACAATCAACCAGAGAAAAGTTAAAAGCACAAAAACAACAAGCTTTCTGTTATCGAAAAGAGACCAATGGGGAATGCAGGAAGGCTACACAGTGCCAGCACAGTCATTTAGCGAAGAATTTCTAACATGGACATTTTTACTAGGGTCTGTTTATCAAAAACAAATTTTCTGATCAGTTATGTTTCCCAAAACGTATAACAATCAACCTGCTGCATTTTCTTTGTGAATAGAATGTCAAGACTACAAGGGAAAATTCCAAGAAAGGAGATTATTTAAAAAAAGAATGCATGCATTTAAACGAGATCTAGCAGTGAATGAGACCAAAGAGACAGCAGAGTATTTGGGTAGTATTACCACAACAATCTCCTTCATTAGGTATTAATTTATTCATTAAATATTAACTCTTGCCTGGTCTCGTTCTGAAGGTGACACATCTTCATTTGGTCTAAGCAGGATGTGGACTTTAGTGGTAATTCTTCACAGTTGGGGAAAAAGCAAATTATTCATTATACTACACAAGAGTGCTTTCTATTAAACCTCACCATAGGATCCATAACTCCACATAATTAACTCCAAAACATTCAAAAGAACGACTGTAGATCCTATATGTAATTCACATGGTCTCTTGTGTCACAAACACTGGATACCTTATAGAACTAGAATATTTTACATTACCACCATGAATAACAATGTTTCAATACAACACGAACAGGAATAGTATTTAGAGTGCCATAACGTAGATAACGAAGACTCTACTATAGACCAAACTTTATTTTCTTTCCCGCACAAAGGATGTCAACTGAAAACTGCAACTACCAGGACAAGATGAACCCAGAGAGAGGAATACTCCTCCCTTTCTCGTGACAAGATATTCTGCAAGTAACCCTGTCACACTCCAACTAGCACAGTATCAATGGAGTGAAAAGGCCCTGCAAATAGACTTTAATCTGGGCCTGAATGGCACCTACAAGCAGCAACACTAATTACGACTACTGAAGAGGTTTGCGTCCTTTTTCCCTTGTATGTACCAAGTCTGTGTGCAGGCTTTGAGACTTAAAAGGCCCATCGTTACGTTAGACACCTGCTTTGTAACCCTCAGCTCAATCGCATTAGAGAGACGTCTCTCACTTGAAGAAAGGTCCATTGTGTAGATCCACTGAAAACATTGTCATGCTTCAGTAAGACCAAGGCAACATCTGCACCGTTCAGATGAGGAGGACGTTGTAATCAGTCTGCAAATTCTTACACTGCCTTTGCATCACAGGTCCCAAGCAATGGGCTAAATAGAGTGTTTGTGAAAACAGGCACTTCACGAACAAATTCTCTCTCATCTCTCTGTGGCTCAGAGGTGTAAAGCGAAAGATCGGCAGTCTATCGAAGACATCGGGTAATCGTTTTTGGGGATGCAGGGAGAGGTAGATGTTGGAAAGTTCCGCAAACTTCTCAAAAAAGAATAGGCAATATAGTTGCGTTGGTCAACTTCTGAAGGTTTTCTTGGCTTTCATTTACATATAATTACACTTTAATAGGAGCGTGACAAGCGCAAAGACTTAAGTGGCAGAGAGGAGCGGGCTGCTCAGGACCCCCTATGATAGTCGTTGACAAGATGCAGCGCAGGCTCCGTCTCCTGCTAATTAAACGAATCAATTAAGAGACTATTGTTGTAACTGTGTAACTGATGTTCTATAGAGGCAATAACAGCCCCATTGGGAGGTCTTCTACTACATTAAAACACTGTCCTCTACAACTCCATCTGATATCATTAGAAACACTGATTTGCGTCTTGCTGTCATGTCAGCGGAAGCAACGCATTATGGAAATATGCCCAGCAGAATGGTCCCAGTATGAGATCAGGTTCACTCCTGAACCACCAAGGAGGATTTTTCACCCCAAAGTTCTCTGAAGTTCCTTAATGGAATCAATACATCCATCAACACAGCAACCATTTAGTCAGTAGGTAAGGGTCACATATTTGCATACTTTCCCTGCTATGCAGATATAGTTTAAGATGAAAAATTATCATATTAAATTTACCCTCCTCAGTTAAACTGATTGAGTTCCAAATTGTTTTAGATGGCTGTCATTAATCCCCAACATAAGGTTAGCAATTTCTCTGCTAATTTGATTTTGTGGGTGCATCAAGGGTCAAAATACTAGCATATTAATGCTGAACCCCATTTAATCTCTAGATCTAGGAAGCCGTATTAACATGCAGTTTAGAAAAAAGAAAAAAAAATACACAACAGACAACTCCTCCCTCCATGCCTTTCTGAAACCATTTTTGTCTAAAATGCCACGGAGGGCAAATCTAAATATCATTTATTTCTATAGTAATACTTAAAATGATAAATTCTTCAAAAAAAAAATCTATGTGAGAAGTTGTTACTGAAAAATAGCCAAGTGTCAGGTATGTGTGAGGGCATGATTCTGATCTGTCCTGATAGGGATCACATTTGGCCGTACACATTCAGTGGTCTCAGTGTAACCTTAAGTTCTGCGATTGTCTCTCTGGAAAGGAACCAGCACAATGACAACAAAGACAAAGACAAACAGCAGTCTACCGATGAGCCCTGGTGTTTAAGCTAGAATTAATATATAATATATAACCAATTACTGATACTATACTATGTATTTATATATTACAAATATATAGGCTACTTAACCATAAAAAAATCTATAATTCACACATTCAATGACCTTCAGTCCATTTTATCGTCATTGTCTGTATAAACACACTTTTCTGCACACAACTCCAAATACGTGGAAGAATAGTCACTCCTTAAAAGTAGACTGTCATCATCTCAGAAACAAAAGGTACCTTAACATTAACATTATTATTTTGCCATAACTTAAAAAAAACGGTTTCATAAAAGCTGATAAATTTGAAGTGTGAAACAAATGCGTGTATATGTATTACTAGCAAATTACAATACCCTTAACCATAAACCGCATTTTAAGGATTGGAAATACTGCAAAAGAAATACATGATTATTTTCAAATGGAAAAAAAACAACGCACGGTGAGACAAGGATTCAGTGATGCAGTTGTGTAAATGGATACAATATACAATATAATTGCATAAATCCTGCAATACACTAAGCACAAAGTCGAAGGGTGACTGTATAAATAGAGAAAAAAGCAGTAGAGAGTCATATCATACTATAGATTCATTACGAGTTGCCACAAAAAAAAAACAAGCTTTTTTTAAGCATTCTAATTAAAATACTGTTTTCCATCACCGGGAATTAATTCCCAGCCACGCTGCCAGGGAGTGAATGTTACTCAACGTCCTTCAACTGGCCATGTGCAGGAGGCCAGTGATGTCTCGCTCCGTTCTTCCCGGGCCGCCTGGCGCCCAGTTGTCAGATGGCTGGGATAACCCTGGTTTCCTCCCTGCAAACTGGCGGCAAAACCACTGTGCTTGCCATCTAGTGTCAGGGAATCAAATGAACCATTTCATCTGTGTTGATGCCCCCATGACAGACAGCCTGCATGCACCCCCCCCTCCCCCCCTCGCCCCTTTCTCTCCCATCAGCCCCGGCTGTTAGAACACTGCTGACAGAAAGGTCAATGAAGCCAGAGCTAAGCAGGGTCTGGGTGCCATGGACAAGTGCCAGGCACACACAAGGACAGGTACAGCACTGGCATCCAAGAGTGAAACGCTGAGGAGACCGCGGCCCTCGCCATAGCGGGTGTGCCAACCTGCCACTCCCACATCTAACATCTAACATCACTTCCTGAATTAGAACAAATGGAAAACTTGACTGCCATTTCTCTAAAGACACTACTGCTGGAGTTGATTAGGGCTAAAGGGATGAACACACAGAACGGGAGATATTTTGATGGCCATTCGACATTCCCCTAAGCCCCCCCACCCCCCCCCAAAGTTCAAAAATTCCATTCGATGGACACTGGCCACCTGCCAAGTCAATGTCTTCTTGTCAAACCTTTCAACCTTAATAGGAAAATGATTTATTATATATACACGTAAATCGGCATAGTCAGTCCGGGGCGTAAATATGTTCCACCTATATTAAAATATCCCACTCATAAATCTAAAAGAGTTTTCAGCCTACCTCCTGCCACTGATATCCACCCCCACCTAACTCGGAAAACACTCAAATTTGCACACTAGTAAGTCTAATCATACATTTGTCCATATTCAAGGGAAGATGGAAGTAAAATTACTCACCGATGTGCCGAAATACTGAAGTTCTATCTCTCCGGCTGCATTACGAGAAAGGCACTGAAAATATGAAAATGCAGAGATGATTATTCTAAAGTTTAGATTAAAAGTAAAACCATATTAACATATCAAAGCAATGCAAGTCATGCAGTAAACACATACTTTCAGTGAAAGGAATAAAAGTGATTTCTTTTTTTTTTTTTTTTTTTTAAAAAACATGATTAATTTCCATTTTAAGAACAAAGTCTGTTTGAAATATTCAGTCAGCGAAACTTGAATAATTGTCAGTACAATATCATGTCGAGTTTTACATTAGTTAACCACAATACATCACTAAAAAATGCTAAAACTGAAGACTTTGGACTTTTGGGGATGACTTCCAATATCTGCACACTGGATTAGTAGAATTAAAACAATCTGCGTTTAAAACCAGATGGATGAACAGAACTTTGCAGCAAAAATGTATGTCTGACGAATGGATAAATCATTTCAGACATTTACAAAACATCTACTTCAATCCCATGAAAGCGTCACGCGGCCAGAGCAACAATACCAACAAAGTGGAAATGATAGGCTTGCAGATCTAGGGATGGCGTATAAGGACTTCTATTAAGTACACTTTCATGACAATTAACGTTCCCTTTTCAAAAAAATGCAACCAATATGTCGTCAGGCCAAGTGCCTTTCATGGATTACAATAGCTACTGAGGAAAGGTCAAACAGTCAATCACCCTGAGGCCTTTACCCTCACTCCTGATTGGCTGCAAAGTGCGAATGATTCCGACTAACGTGTTAAAATAGAATTATTATTTAAACTAAATTCATACAGATAAAAACATTTTAACAGAAACTTTACCAATGAGATGTTTTACATTGGAACAATAGACAGAGTGAACACACATTCCCTCAGAGATTTGGAGTGAAAATTCTAAGCTGACGACCTACACCAGACTTTAACACCGTGAGTAACACCGTGAGTAACACCGTGAGTAACACCGTGAGTAACACCGAGAGCACTGAGCTGACTCTCCTGCTTCCCACAGCAAATGAGCCAAGACGTGGCCACACAGCTGACAGCAGGCAGAGGGATCTGAGCCAGAAAGTCGTCTCCCTAACGTGAGGCTGGATGCTCGCGCGTTCAGTCGTGGCATCGTTACGAGCCGGGGAAGGGGGCGCGGAAAGCACTGTGGCCTCTTACGGATCGCGGATCTCAGCGGTCTGTGCCCGTCACACTGCTGCCGAAATAATGGCTGCCCCGTATGTGCCGAGGTACAGTGAAAAGGTAAATACAAATGAATGCATGGTGCTCTGTATGAAGCGAAGGAGGGAGAAAAAAAAAAAACCTTGCAAAGAATTATATGTTAAGTATCACAAAACAATGGTTCTGGGGCATATGCCAGTAAGTCGAGTGCAGATTTCCCAAGATCTTATGGATGTGACATAAATCCTTTAATCCCTCGGGGGGGCTTCGTGGAGAGATGGCAGCGGCAGCGGGGGCCCGGGTGGGCCGGGGCAGGCTGCCCTGGGAGCAAGCCCAGGCGGAGAACTCCGCAGCACTCACCTCCTCGCCAACTTCTGAAGGACTCGCAAGTAAGAGGAGCAAAAGGCCTTGGCCAGCGAGGGGACACAGCAGCTTAGCGGAATAAATATTCATGAGCAGCGTGCACCCGCGGACTAGCGGGGCCAACCACTGAGGGCGCTTATTATTATCGCTATTATTATTATTGTCGTTTCACAAGCACATATTTTCATACATAAAATCATTAACTACTATTATGCTGATATTCAGTCATAAATGTACGCAAGATTAAATCTTTTGATATACATTTTCAGCATTTTCCTAAATCCAGGTCAAAGTTACCTGGAGGTATTTTTAACAGCAGCAAAGACAAAGCAGATTAAATCCCCCCCCCCCCTCTATTTTGGGCAGGTTGTGTTACACTTTATGATAATGCAGCTGCAAGAAGTCCATGAGCAGAAAAGTGATTACCTCACAGCCGAAAATGGTAATCTGTCCGCCTGCTCATAATTTAATGTGAATAGAGTCACCAGGCTTCATGATTCTAACGTTGCTTCACTTGATTGGCTCAGGAGACACAAGGCTGTCTGTGACTTGGCCCCAGCTTATCTACAGGATTTAAGAAGATCCCTCGCTATCTCTACTGGAAACCTTTGGAAGGAAACCGCCTTGACATTTACACATCCTCAGTTTCCATGTGTACATTACAAGCACCGTTTTTTCATTTCGCGGACAAAGAGATACTGTTTTCATTTATACTGTATGGTTATTTTCTCCTTGTTATCTATTATTTTCTGTGGCCATTTCATGGTCCTTTAAAGTTCACCAGTCTTCAGGAGAATCCCCTCTTCGGCATTTGTTGGTATCCTGTTGATACAGTAGGTTAGTGATTCTGGGCACAGTGGCTATTTGGACTCTTTCATCTATTTTTTAAATCTAACGTTCTTTGATGCCCCTCACGAGCTGACTCGATATCTGACCTCACCAAATTATAACATCTTGTAGCAACTTCACATGGTTTATTTTCTGTTTTGGGAATATAATCAATTATAATATAATTGACTGGGTTGCCAGTCAAGAGCATACAGTTTTGCACATGAAACACCTTAATTCCATCAGTAAATGGAGATAGTGTTTGGTAACCTTATAAATTATTGCATAACATTTTACAGTGAGTTTTATATCCCACAGGGCTTTTCTCTCCAACTGATTCCCAGAATATGGCTAAACCACTTCAAAACATCAGTCTTCCCACCCACATCTATAATGTAACACTAAATACATTGTGAATATATTATGTTTGAACTTCAAATTAGCTAGCTAAATATTTTTATCCTAACATGATACGGTCTGGTAAATTACTGAACAAATATTTGCTCTACAGGATGGATGTGATTCAACAATTTCAAATGCTTTGTACTAGGAGAGATGATTCTTGAAATCAGTCATTCTGTTTCTCGGCAAGTTCACTGTCAGTGCATTATATCTGTGGTGAATTACAGAAAAAAAAAAATCTACCATATGGTAGTACCTTCTGCATCAACTATCTTAATTGGACCCCAACAACTAATCTTCATTTTCAATGGCTCAGTAATACAAAATTAAGGATCATCTTTAAATGGAACAAGATGTAACACTACAGAGATTCTGTACGTGTGCTACAATTTTTTATCCTACATCCACAGACCATGTATTATCAAAATATTTATCAACACATATTAAATTTTCCTTACTGCAGCTGCCACAAAAGCCTTTGTCCCAAGCATTTAAATATAAAAAAATGTACATATATATGTACTCTGGAGCGGGCGGTTTTTAATCCAAGAATACAAAGGGAATAAAACTTCATGATTGCAAGCTAGAAACAATAATCCCTGCAAGCAATTACTACTTCTGAAGGAAGCGTTAATTATTTTACAAAGTGTAAGTATAACCTAACAACAAGGTAAGGTGTAAATGTATAATCCCCCTGATCTGGATATAACACACGTCATCATTCAGGGTTAATAACCACAAGAATACATGTTCTGCCACTTAACAGCAATCAAGTTTTTCTCATTACACAGGAAGGGTTTGTGTGACACTGCACCAAATCTCTCCCTTATTCTTTCCCAAATTAGTTCCACTTAGTTGGGTACCAATGACCTATTCAATGCAAAATGCAATTGGTGACAATCAGCAGACTGGTGGCCTTTCAATGTCTAAGTTCAGGGCTACAGAAATTACAAGAAAATAAGAAAAAAAAGAGGAAAGGAGAAAAAAAACCTGGCAATTCACCTGCAGTCGGTCTGCCCTCTAATGAAAGCTTCAGCTCTGGAGGGAATTACCAGCATATTTCCAAATAATAGACACCCCCGCCCACCCACCCCCCCTCAATCAACCGCATGATGGAATAAAAAGGTTACAATTTAAACAATGCGATCATGTATGGCCCTAACTAACTATAACTTTAAAAAGCATAAACACCCAATGCTGGAATTACTAAAATCAGCAAGTAAGCATAAGTTTCATTTGAGGCAGTGAGTTCCTGCAATACTACTCAGTTGTAAACTAAGAGATGTATATATTAAAGCAAAAATAATAAGTTTTTAATACCACAACAATATCTAAATGCTAATTTACAAAAATGAATATTTATCTTTATTTATGAATATTTATAAATGTTTTAAGAAAATATTTTACTATTACGCTAAAAATAAATTAAAATACCACCTCTTTTAAAAAAAAAAAATTCAAAAATTAAACACTACTATGCTTGTTAGTAAAGGAAGATCTAAAATGAGGTGGATGGAAAGATGAATGGAAGCTTATGGGATTGCAGTCATGCCTCCTGTTATACTGCACAATAGGTTTGACTGTAGTGCTCCTCTATTGTACATTTCAACATCAGCATTTTACAAGATGATTTCTCTATTGGCATATTCCTACACCGCTTCTGATTCCCTAGTTCCGCTAGTCGCCATCAACAAAACTATGCAATCAATGAAATCTCAGTAGGTTCCTGAAGATTTTACAGAGAAACTTGAAGTACTATTTACCTTCACAGTAAAGATACTTTCTGAGAAAAGAATACTTTTACAAATATTTCACTGAGTACTTGAGTACTTTCAGAGGAAAACAATCAACATAAAAAAAAGAAAGCGGGAGAGAGAACTAAATCAATGCTCGATATTATATAACAGCAAATGAGTGTTAGAATCCCTCAGATGCCTGATGAATCTTCAATTAAATGTATTCCACATAAATAAGCAAGTAGCCAAAGAATGCTTTGGTAACTCGGGTTCAATCTGTCGTGCAACTGGAACATTGCGTGCATGGTGTTGGATTTCTGATACCTGCACGGTCCTTTGGGTGCCGTTGATGGTGACGGGTAACAAAGCAGACGCCAGGTTCCACTCACTGGACACATCCATCCTCTTTCCATCAAGATCCACCTGCGGAGATGAGCACACAAGACTGTTACTGAGGAGACAGACACAAAACACATCTCAAGATCATCACTCCGTTACCATGCGGCAACCATTTTAAACAGATGGCGCCCAAACAGCCTGTCATGTTTACTGTTGCTGTCATAAAAGACAAGAGTCCAACAACATGGTCTCATGGGGGCCCCTGGGGATTGGCGGAGGACCTGAGAACAGCTGCCTGAGGGAACTCAGGGCTTCAGCCTGAGACGTGCCCCTCCCATGCCGGCCTTCCAAACTCCTCTACCTATGTGGACATGCTACATTTACTGCAATTAAATAAGCATGCCATTTGAATATTCGGTGACACATCGCAACCTGCTCAACGGGGCCTGCATATAATCTCGTCCCCACGGAGCAGGGAAGAAATTGTCCGTGTCACTATTAATGAAAGAATTTGCATTGTTATCTTAATTATGGAGAAATAATGAAGCTCACTTCTGAATTAGTTAATCGACAAAAACTTGTACAAATGTGTTTGCATGGCCTATAGGTATGGCCTGCTGATAATGTATATTCTGCCCGGGTGCTTGGGGTTACGTCAAGCGACGTCGGCTAGCCCCTAATAAGGCAGGTGTTGCTGGGCATTTCTTCGGCTCCTTAGCAGTCACGATGGTTTTTGACCCTCTCAAGTCTTTCTTCTCTCTCTTTCACACGAAAAAGGCAGGAGAAACCAGAAGGACCAGAAGACACGTTAAAGCATTTGTGACTTTTTACTGTGCTTCTGATTAAGATCTTCTTGCCCCACTTAAATCCAAAATTCTACTTGAGGGACCAGTTGTTAGATTAGTTGTAGCTGGGCGGGGGTTTTTCCAGCAGCTGAGGTGGGTGGTAACCTCGGTGCTGAGGGTTAGAGATGCTCGGCTGTCTTTCCACTTTGTCTGAACACAGTCAAAGGACAGGAAGGCAGAGTGGAAGACAAGGCTCAATGCGCTTGACAATTCAAGGGCCTCAAATGTCACATGAAATATCAATGCAGCGGTGACAAGAACGGACTGCCACAGAAAGATGATGGTTTCTATGCAGGAGCATGCTACACTGACTAAAACAACTCAAACTCAAGTAAGCAACTCAACACCAATTACAAGAAGCCAAGACTATGGGATTAAATTTGATTGTTCAGCATCAACATCAAATCATCTTAGATTGAAAATTAGTAAGACGATTTTTAAAAAGCCCAAAGGATATTTCATTGTACTTTTTGGAGGTTTATGGATCCGGTCAATCAAAGAACCAGCAGGACCTGATACTGCTTCCCCTATCACTTCTTAATATTCAGGAAGGACTGAAAATATCCGGACCCACAATAGCCTGTTTTTTTTTTTTTTTGTTCATAATGGCCAACAGGAGTAATGCCAAAATAGAAGTTCAGGGAAATTACTATTATGAGACTTCATGGAAAGTTTTTTGCACTGGGAACCTGGAATTTGTTACCTAACCAAATACCTATCTGCAACAGGCCAGATACATGAGCAGACAATACAGCAAATCTAATCGGCTAGTTTATATAAGATCACAAGGGAAAAGAGCCCCAAGTTAATCCTAAAATAAATACAATTTTTCCCTGATCTCTGCACTTAGCTGAAGCATTTTTTTGTACAGTTAATACATTTTGGAATCTTGTGATAGAACAAACATAACCAACAAAAATAGTGTTCATTCTCTGAAAGCTCTAGAAAATGATTTAAGTTAATTAACCAAATGTAATACCCATTTTAATAAACCTTCAATTATGTTCAATGAACTTGCTTACAATAGTAATTCAATTTAAAGTCATCATTATTGTGTAGTGTTGCCTCTGTGCTGAATAATCTGTGTGAAGAGCTTAGGTGTTTGCAATTAGCTGTGTGACAAAATAATGTCTCCAGTTGAGGAAGACTGAAACTCTAATCCAAACTTAATAGCCTTTCTGTTTAGTGTAATGGAATGGCTGTACAAAAAAATCAATTAAGCACTTTGCTCATAAACTGAACCAGCATTTATTTTTATCCAGAATTGCAAAGTATCATGAACATGACAAAATGAAGACAAAAGCAATACTGTTGGTGATAATACTCACACCTTATCAACCAGGCAGAATATTCTAAAGAAAATCAAAATATGAATTCTATTATTGCCCTGTGTAACTTTTAAAAGTATAGTAACATTAGGAATGTGACACTATACAAGGTCCAGTGTTACTAAATTATAAACTAACATAAAAGGCGATAACACACTTATCGGTAGCCAAGACTTGAACAGGGTAAATTAAATGAACAATGAAATAAAAATGTGTGTGGATGCATCAGAAGTGTCAAATACATTTACTATAACGGGAAAATGTTTCACAATAGTTATTTTAATGCACTTCCACATTTAAACAATTGCAATGGCATTTTTAGTTTTTTGATTGCAGATTTTTAAAAAATTGAATTTCCCCTTGTGGGGACCGAAAAAAAATTCCCACAATGTCAAAATAACAGGTTTTTATCACATTGTGGGGACATTTGGTCCCCACAATGTAATGTATAGCTGGACCACACACACACAGTACTGTGCAAAAGTCTTAGACAGCCAAATAAAATTATGTTTAAATGATGTTCATGTTGGTGTCAAACTATGATATTATGCTTGTCAAAGTGTGCCAGCCCTGGCCATTTCAAGACACACATGTATCTTTGGACCCTGCACAAGCCCACCTCGTATGGCTAATCAATATCTCATTGACTGCTTTAACTAATTAAATTAATAAATTAAATGAGCTGGTGGTGAAGTTTGATAAACACATGGCATGGCTGAGGTGCCCCTGAAGAGAGGTTTGGGAACCGAAGCTGTGTTCTTCTAGCCATCCAACAAGATATCAGTGACTTTTTGGAGAACAGAAGAAATTCTTACTAGTTTTTATTGTGCTGCTCTTAATTTGCATATGTTCTAATGCTAAATTGTGTTTTGTTCTGAGCAATAGTGCACTTACTAGCCAGATAAAAAGCTTTAAACATTTCTTTTGACTGCCTAAGAATGCACAGTAGTGTGTATATACACAGAAACATCCCCAGTGACCATCCTAATTGCAGATACGCATCCTAGAGCAGAACCAATTTGATGACATTCTGTGGTCTGTAGGCCCAGAAAACACAACTTTCCTTGAGTTCCATGGGATGTTCTAGAAGGCTGGGCTCAGTCTGTCTCTACAGCAGCGTTCACTGTTGGACGGGTGCCTACACTGCTGTAGGTGGAATGCAGTGAACAGCGCTCTCCTACAAGCAAGCTGCACATTGCTTGATGAAGCATGCAGACCACAGAGGGAAGGCAGTGGCTGACAACACACACACAGAGGAGGTCTGCACCACCCAACATCTTCTGCAATCAAGTCTGCAACGGCCGTCGCCGATTCGATTCAAATTCAAAGATGGCCATCCAAATTAAATTTTAGTTCACGTGTTGTTGTTTACACCTAAATAAGTTTTTGTTAACTAATACAAATTGTACATCACATCATTTCTGAAAAGAAGGTTTTTACCATGAAATATCTCAGTATCTCCAAACCAGGTTGTGCACCAATCAAAGAGGGTTCAGCTCTGAAGCTGGGCTTCCAAGCATTATTTTACAATAGTCTACAAACATTCTTACTTCTTCTTGTTTTCCATCCCATATTCTATATGTCAGGCTTTCCGAAATACGTGTCACACCGCATGCTATGGGATCAATTTTTCATAATGTGAAGAGACATTATAATTAGAGCCAATATACATCTGATGAATACTCAATACAACATTGTCTTCTCATTCAAGACCTTCCACATTTGTAAAGGGGGAAACTGTAACCAGGTAGTCATGGTGGATGGATTCCTTAGCCCCTAACAAATACTGCACTGGTCACTAGTGGAACTGGGACTCAACAGCTATCTTCTGGTACTGGAGGAGAAATGCCTCCAAACTGAACTTAAACCCCTTGATGTTTGAGTGTAAAAAATATATCTCGTTTTCAGCCAAGCCCAAACTTCCCAGCTTGAAGATTTTTTTTCTTCTGTTTAAGAGATCGCTCCCTGACAGATATCATTATTTACTGATGAGGTCCAGCAGCTAAAGGGAGATATTTTCAACATGAAGCCAGTTGTGTAAATACAAGATCTCACTCTGGCAGAGGAGCCTGACTTCAAAACAACAGTAAAACTGAACCTCAGAAAACCTTTCAAGAGAACCCTGTTTGAAGTTCTGGTTATGGGTGAATGGAATACAAAATCTATTGCAACAAACTATCATCAGGCCCATATGATTCCCTGATTGAGACCATGTGTGGCAACTCCCCTAACGTCCTTCCTCACTGCAGGCCTACCTGTGTACAAGCCAACCCTGGGCTGCATGTGTCAAAACATTCGCCCACAAAGTCACACTAAAAATGCAAAATCATCATGTACGAAAATGGCAAATGACCAAAAACAAGAAACACGGAATTCCACAGGAAGATTAAGGTCCAAACTATTGTGCAGAGAAAATTACGGAAAAGGACTATTAAAATCTTTCCATCAATACTTTGAAGGAAAATATTAATAGCAAGGTCAATCAAGAACGTGTACCACAACAAAGAAACCTGCATTAAAGGTCACGTCCTAGAAGTCTACATAATATAGGCAAAAATCACAAAAACAAACATTCAAATTATTAAACTCTAAATGCTGCATGTTGCAGACGGCAAGTAAATACATCAATTGCACAGTACTGGAAACATACAATACACGAGAAATAGGAGAAGACCAGTGCAGAGTATAAAGGGTCTACAAGGAATATCCTTGGATAGAGGCTTTCTGTGCTGGAAACATGTTGGAAGTAATAAAAGGTAGCATAAGGCAGATAAGGGTTAAGGGGCTTGAGATTGGATGGAGCGAGATGAAGCAGATCAAAGGCCGCGGACAGAGGGCCAGAGGCCACTCTGGGGATTAAACCCCTTTCTGTTTGCATTTTCCTGCTGTTTCACTCACAAGCTCTCATCAGCTTCTTCACAGAGATCAACACTGGCTTGTTATGACAATCATAACAACAAACAGAATAGCAGAATATGGATAAACCCACCAGGTAGCATTTCACCATGACTTTGTTATAAAGTTTTGCTCAGATTACTGACAACAAAAGTCTTATTAGCCAAGTACCACCAACATTTGAGGTGGAGATTTGAGCAGAATACTGAATACAGATAATGCTGGATGACCAGAATGAGGATGTTTCAGTTCACACACAGACACATAGTATGTTTTATAAGGGCATATAATTACTGGTCAATGTCAATGAACAATGTTAACAGTCAATTTCAAGTAGAACAGAGAAGTTAATATGTAGCAAACTGATTATTAAAATTAATGCTTGGAAAACCACCAACAATTCTGTTGCGAATTCTCCACAGTAATAAATGATTCAAGTAGATAAATTCGCAAAGTTTAGTTAGTTATTTTAGGAAGCATACAAGTGGCACCCAGAAGAAAGAAAACATTGTATTTAATGAAATACATAAAGAAATATCGAGTATACAATCAAATTTCCATATTAATATAAATAAATTTAACATAAAACAATCATATAATTGGTCAGGTGAGTTTGTGCCCCCAGAAAAAGAAGACATTTATCTGTGATTACTTAATCTGCGATCGTTATTACTAGTGTGGTTATCCAACCACAAAATATAGCGGTTGAGGTCATTAATGCAGCCAAAAACCACAAACACCACATAGCTTATCTTAACAATACAAGTTGCCATAACTTTAGGTCCGGTACTGACTTTTTCAGGGCTGTCATGCTTGCGAGAGTCAATCAGTTGTCTCACCCTATCTTGCGTAGTACTCTAGATAACGGCGTTTGTTTGCACTGCAGTCCTCTGATGGAGGGAAATAGCCAGAGACGCTTTTTTCTGCTGCTGAACTATAAAACTTATTGAATATTGAAATACTGAATGATATCTGAGCCGCGTCCCGTTTTGAAAAACTGAGAATGAAGTTTCTCCCTACATGACCCATCAGAGAACTTAAGTCAACAGCACTGTACGTGTTCGGTGCACAGTATGTTAAATATTAAAGAATAATTACATTCAACTGAGTTCTTTTTAAACATAGAATATAAACATATTCAGTAGGAAAAAGTAGCGACTGTGCATTTATTTAAAACAGGAGACAAAACATTTAGATATCTCAGGAATCAAGCACATTCGCTGAGAGTTACATCCTACAAACTAGGCCTACATATCAGTAGTCCGTGACAGATATCAGTAATCCATGATAAACAAAAAAAAAAACCATTATCGTGTATAAATGTTGTATTTAAGAGCAGATTTAACAGCAGCCATTATAACAAGTAACCTGATCATGAGCTTGGAATCCCATACATCCAGAAAGCACCAGGTCCATTTGTCTGCTATAGAAATATGACTGAAGTTGACCGCTACTCTCTAGCTGGTAGTTACACAGCATGCAGTATGCATTCATTCTATTCCCTTAACATTTGAGTGACCAATTACCGCTATAACACTCATCAAGGGTCAAGACTGTCTCTCAGATCCAAATTGTAATGGACGTTTTGTGCCTGCATTATACATCCTAGAGGAAACCCAGTCTTTATCTGATTCCCATGATGTGCTCGTTTAGCGTATGGTAACCACAAACTGTGACTTCATTCTCCAAATACTATTTTGACTATATTCGACAGTGCTAGTTTGATTCTCAACATTTGGACTATTTGCGAAAGACTAAAAGTGGAAACGTAGAAATTAAGCGCGAGTTGAAATTCGATTTTTTTTTCCCCCTTATATGTGCCCCTAATATACTTCTGTAACTTTTGTTATAAATGTCACCATTTTCAATGTTTGGAATTAAATCTAAATCAGAAATTCAATTCCAATAAAACTAAAGTAGCACTAGTAGAGACAACAGGGGGAAAATGCAACCAGGAGTTCATAGATTCTGGATGGATGTATACTACGAATACATTTTAATAATGATAGCCAAGTATTCAGTTATTAAATTGCAGGACTGCAGAAAAAATCTAATTCTAGTAATTGTCAATTCAAGCAGTTCAAGTTCTCATTTGTTTTTACAGATTCATCAGTTACTAAACAGCTGCCAAATTTGCTGGACTAAGGAACTTTAGGAGCAAGGTGGGTAAGAAGAGATCTGGTACAGAACTAGTACAGACTACCATGTTCTCAGATCTTTTGGATAGGACACAGTTTCCGCAGGGACAGAATCTAGATGTTCTCCTCCCACACATCTTCAATTACATTTTTCATAATTCCGTGGTAAGGCACACAGTCTTCCAGGAACAGAATTACAATTATCAAAGTTAATATTATTCAATTCTTCAACCAGAAAGAATGGGGTTGCAATTCAATTTAGAAAATAGGGCAGACTTAGTCAAACAGAGACAAATACTAAGCAAATATATGCCAATCTATGACAGCAGAAGTAAATATATAAAGAAGTTCATGTCAGCCACGGGGAAGAGACTTGAAAACAATTTTTTTGCATCGTTTTGACAGTTTCTTTAGCACCGGAGATACCTCTGCATTATCAGCCTGCATGCATACATATTGTGTACATATTGATAAAAGCTTTTTGGCTCCGGCACAAACAGTTCAGGTACTACAATTATATCCTCAGAATAAAAACCCGATTTTAATTGTGAGACGAGGCAAAATTCGGCTGGAAGGAGTTTAGTGAGTGAATGGAAATGTGAAGAATGCGACAGGAGGTGTAACCGCGAGGATGGATGTGTTTGTAGGTCCTTGGGGGGGGGCAGATGGGACTTACTGTGCAGGCTGATCCGGAGTGGGAGACAGTGACGGCGTGGACCCCCTTCTCCAACTCCACAGACAGTTCCCACCTCCTCCGCTCCTGCTGGGAGCTGGAGACTCTGTAAAACAATGCCCGCATTATCCACCACATTTTAGCTCCAGCACCCAGAACCACTGCACTCCATAGCTATGTAGTAATTAAGTCTCCCACCATTCGGAAATTAACCTATATTAAGTATCATTCATCATTCGGCTAGGCGGGTCTGTGTAGGCTACAGGCGAAGCACAGAGCTGGGTAACAACGCCCTTGGGTGGACTGGATACACAGTGGCAGCGGCAAATCTCACAACTTATAGTGGCAATCAAGCTTTGGTCTCTTGGTTAGCTCTAGAAACGGTGGGAAATCTGTTTACCAGAAAATGTATGATTCTCCTTAATTCTGATATATTGCTTTAGTTTATTAAAAAAAACAAACAAACATGATACACGGCTGATCCCTTTGTGTTCCTGTCGCTCCCACACACACCAAAAACAAAATAATAAAAAAAAAAAAACATAACACTGAAGACTTTTGGGATGGAAAGTTTGGTATCAGGTTCCATGGTTATTCTGTAATCTGCTAATACACCCTGAATTGGGTCACAGGGCTAAACGAAAATGAAACAAGGAAACTTCACCAACATTCACACAGTTCTGTCTGACAACTAAGCTTTGATGGGACATTTTCCGTCGTTTCCAATAAATAAAGTTATTGAATGAAATTCTTTGGAACTAACACGATGACAACCATAATAAACAGATATGAAAAGAAAATATGTAAGAAATAAAACATTTTTAACTTTAAGCAAAGCAAGCATTATGTAGCTGTTGTTTCTTCTCCCCAATTCAGTTTTTCCCCCCAGTTTTGTCTAATTTGCTGTCATGTGACCCCAAAGCGTGCTGGACCTATCCCCGAGGTCACCCAGTGCGCAGTGTGGTCTCTCTATAATCCCGGGTTGGCCGGCAGCCTAAGTCCAAGGCCTTGGCCTGATGAGGGATCCCCAAGCCCCGTAAAGTGGCCCCAAATCGCCATCAAGCAGACACAATGCTGGCACCCTATCAACACTGACTTGATCAAGACAAATGTGTCACTTCCAGAAAGCCACCGCACTAAAGACCCGTCTGTGCACACAAACCTAACATATGAGCCACTAAGGCCTGCTCACCAAAACAGAGCACAGCCATATTCTCTAATCATTATAAGCTTCCCATTCTTTGCTTGGTGTTGGCAAGTGTGAACATAACCCCCCCTCCCAATCCCTCACCCCAAGAACTACTGAATATTTAAATATGAAATCTCACAAACAATACATATTAATTAAATAATTAAGATTCAAAGCCATTATCACATCTACCTATACTCTACAGTACAGACGATGCCAAATGATTAATAAATAAATTGGCCTGAGCATTACAGGTTAAGCAGACTACAACCATTTGCAGATTTCTTTTGGCAGCCTCCCAGGCTATTCTGTGGACAGATTGTGATTCTTGGTACCAAGCAGTCTATCAATAGCTTACTTGGTGAGCAATATGCAAGATGAGCCCTCGTTGAGTGGCAGGCACAGGACAGCCCCCTGAAACATAAACTGCGGCAGAATCTCCCGAAGACAGCCAGCGAGGAGCCGCTGCAGAAATACCGTCTTTGGCGGAGAGCCAGAAGCCCACTCAAGGCCGCCTCTTCAGCTACAGTAGGTCAAGCCTGTCATAAGGGTTGGGTCCATAGTGTCACCTATGTGTCATAGGCAGACGCAGGAGTAGCCACTGCGAAAACCCCCCCCGGCCCCAACAGAACAGCAGCACAAATGGAAGTGGCCTGGCATAGAAAACCCATCCCCCACCAAAACCCACACAAAATCCAACCCAAACCCATGTGTTAACTCAGTGGGAATCATCCCAGAGAGTGGCCAGTGCTCATGCGCCATTAAAATGATAGAGTACAGGCTTAGTGAGGATTAAAGACTTCATTTATACTCATATTTAGAACTCCTATTTTATTTTATTTTTTATGCCATCACATGATATATGGCACATAGGCAACAACACCTTATCTCCTTTTATTGGGGAACATCAAGAGTGATTGGCATGATTTCTCCTGGAGAACAAAACAAACCATTAAGAACGATGTCCTGATATTGCACTTCACAATGAGGCTGACTCAATGCTGGGATAGTATATACAATGGAAATTTAGTATATACAAGATGAGGCACAAGTCATGAGCTATGAAATGGGGGGTCAAATATTCACTCTCAAACAGTATATTTTGTTAAAGTATTTTTGCACTAAGTGCTCTAACTGGTTTGTATTCACCTCTGCACACGTGTATTTATGAAGACCTAGACAAGAAAACAAACACATTCAGTCACTAACATACTTTACGGTAAAAGTATGGTTACGTATCAAACTAGGCATTCGTTTTATACAAATATAAACCAGCATAAAAATCTGGTCATCTGGGTTTGAGAACATTAAGTCTTATTAGGCTAAGTCGAATCATACAGTAAATACTTCAAAATCATCCAAAGGCCCAAAGTCTTTCCTTTTAATATTTATCGTAGCAATTGAACAGGAAAATAAAAGAGACATATTGACTTAAAACAATGTTAATAGTCAAAGCATCATTAAGGAATCCTTCATCATAACGTGCTCTGTGGGGGGCAGGAAAAAAGATCAAGAATAATGCACTGTGCTTTGTAGCCACTGCGGTGAGGTTCCTCAATGAAGGGTAAGAAAGGGAGGTGGGGGGGTATTTAAAAAAAAAAAAAAAAAAAAAAAAAAAAAAAACTTCTGAAAGTCGGCCATTCATGTGAACAGAGTACAGAGAATTTCCAGCACCGTAAAAATATTTTATGCAAGGACATAGATTCAGTGGGGGTGGACAGCACTAGCTACCCTGAGACTACAAAGCAGAGCTCCCAAGGTTCATGAATAAGTCGAGGAAATGATCAGAAAAAGCAGGGAGATGTTTAGACAGATGGCCCATTTTAAACGACTGGGACAGAGCAAGAAGTGATTTTAATGAAACTTTATATTTTGGAAATAATTGATCTTTATTCTTTTTACATTCCATGAAAGGTGAGAGTAAATTTTATGTGTTACAAGTGCCTGTCTTGTGGACGCTCCCGCTTTGCAGCACTCAGATTAAATAAAATCGACATCATGAACAGTAAAATAAGAACCATGGAATCAAATGGGATCGTTTCAAACGGGAATGTGGCGCCAAGAAAAATAAATAGAAGACGATCTCCGCCCCCCCCTTGCTTTGGACTTAAAGGGGCAGGGAAAACAGTACTTGGTATTTTTAGAAATATCATCTGATGGGATTCTAGCACAACAATTGTCCTCAGACTCTTTAAAGTGATATCGGATGCTGCTTGCAAGGGATAAGATTATATATTATGAGACATTAATTATTAATAAGGGGACGTGTCTGACATGGGCATTAAAGGTTTTCAAACGAAACATAGCAGAGTTTTGTTCGAATCTAAGGTACTATTCGTTAAAAATCTAAATGAGTGCAGGAACGGGTCAGCTGACCCATGTGAAATTTCCAAGAGAAGACTTCAGAGCACAACTGCAAATCTGAAACACAGAAAACAACTATACTACCTCCTCTCACAAGACGAACAAAGAACAGGAAGTACAATGCATCATGTTAGAACCTTATTTATTACCTATACAGTCACCCATGGGCACAGGACTCTCCGTGGTCCTTTTCTGAAACTGAAAGTGACCTTAAATGTTGGGGCAGAAATGAGAAAGCTCTCTTCGATTACAAACACCAGCAACGAAGACTTACTAATCCTGCAAATATGATGACAATTCTCTAAAATGCATTTTTAAATGTAACAGACAGATATGAAAATCCAACAGAGTTACCTTGATCTCAACCAGCATTGCAGTCTTTCCATAGAACACAAGCTCTTTATTAACCTCTTTAATAGCCATTCAGGGTCTCTTCACAAAATTCCCATAACATGAAATTATTACATTTCTACTTAACAACCCTTGTTCTTCGTGGTCAGTAGAGTAAGAAAAGAGGTTCACCCCAGAGAATGGGCTTTCTGGAATCAGATTAATCAAATGTTATGTTAGTCATCACAAGAAAAAAGGAAGGAAAAAACTATACAATGTCTGCAGACTAAATCCAAAATTTTCAACACAGATCTATAAAAATAATCTGTGTACAATAAAAGCACTTCACCTGAAGATTGTAAAACTCGCTAAAACTGCCCAAGGATATTGAACACATTTTAGTAAATGTGCAAAATAAGTTTTTATCTGAAATGATTTAAATGCTTTATGAAGGTTATATACAGGTTGTATTTCATTTTCCCCCAAATAATTTCAAGACATGAGTAGGAATTTTAAAAATGATATAACCTACCCATTCAATGGGGGATTTCTGCTGCGTCTCAAAAAAGGGTTGATTGGAGTATTAAGTCACACAAGAGAAAAATCTATGAGTAGGGCCCACTAACACATAAATACTGAGCAGGCACATTAGCTTTTGTCTTGGTTAATAAAAAAATTACCAAAATCCCTTGTACTGCAGTGTAATATAATGACTCAGATATGCAAATCAAAATGAGAAGAACTGGATTTTTGAGTGACACTTGAGGCCTTGGCAGCCCTACCACAAACGTGTTTGTCCAGGTCCACGTGGATGTGACCCTCCGCGCCATAGCACGAAAAATTGATTTTCATTTAAGACAAATAAATCTTTCCGGCCACCCCATCCTCGAGCCAGGCCACATTCATCCAAAGCGGACGACAGAGGAATCCACAGCTGGCCACTGAACGGCGCATGAACAGGTCATCGTGGGAAAATCGTCTTGGCACTGGACAGCAAATTCACAAATACCTTTCATGGGTCGTACGGCTAGCATGCAAATTAGGACAGAAAGTTGCATGCATATTTGGACAGAAAGTTGTTACTGTGCAGAACTAGAAAAAAAAATAAGTCAGGAAAAAATAAGAGGCTGTGTGTGGTTCAGCGATCGGAAGGTTACCAGTTCAAAACCCGTGGTCTGCAGAGTGATTCCACTGTTGGGCCCTTGAAGAAAGCCCTTAACCGT